TTCAAAGACTAAGTTAAAGCATAACGGATGTTATAAACAAAAAAAAAGAACAAAAGTCAAAGCTGCATAGAGTAAGGACATGAAAGTTCATTTATCGAACCAGAACGCAAAAGCAATGGAATTCGTAAGTGACACCACCAAATGCCACCACCCTTTCGGTATGTAGAGAACATCCCCACCTTCGACTACTCCATCCCAACACTTTGCTTTGGCAAACTCTGGATATTTCTCAAGATCAGGATTGAGAACATCAACCTAAATTTACACAGTCAAATGAAGCTAAAACAACTAGGACAAAAGATTCACCTGGCTCGTATTTGTGAGCAACCCATCCTTAAACGCATAAACCTTGTCAGATTCAGCAGGGGAAACTAGGCGGAAAAACTTGCGCCCAACAATCTAGAAAATGACATTAAGAGGTGATGTAGTCAGCCATGTAAGCCACAATTTCAAGGGCCACTCTAAATTTTACCTGTGAAAATATGTTCTCGCGCGGATCTGTATGGAGAGGCGAAACAGTACCTCCAGGACCAATCCAACAGTTCTTGTCTACTTCATCAAACTGCAAAAACAAGATACAGAAATGCAAATGGATACATTATATCGGTTACCTCACAGTGATCACAGTACAGTGGAAGAGAAATGTCCTCTCGAAGTACAGGTACTTGATGGAACAAACGATGTTGAGCGAGATACAGGGGACCTTTCTAAATGAGGGAATGGAATGAAATGTGAACAAAAAAACAGAGTGTGACGCACCTCATCCACCGGAAGCGTACAAGTGGTGAAGAACTGCGAACCTGTCATGAGCATTTGAGCCCAGTTTGAATCGGTATACTTGGAGCCCTGTTCCACGGGCAATACACGATGACAGAGAATTTTATGGAGGTGGTTAAAGCTAAAACAAATCATTCTAATCATGATGTAAAACAGAGCAACTTATGTCAACAGCAATACCTCCAGTTTTTGACAGCAGGCCAATGTCTATTCAAGCCTTTGACGATGACAGGCTCTTGCCTGGGAAAGTACTGATCAAAAAAATCCCATTTGGAAAGCTCATCGAGAACAGGTATCGGTACAGAATTCGGTAAAGTTTTCACAGCCATAGTGACCTATAATAAAACAAGAGACAGTCGTTTTATCATACCGAGTCAAAAACAAACCTCATTTTCATGAACGGCAGGAGGCACTGGAAGATGACGGTCACAAAATTGTGCATAACGTTGGAGAAGTTGCTCAGGCACGCCATCTCCCATGAGCAATCCAAGATCAACAGCAGCTATTGCGTGCTAAACTGGGACTTTATTGCATGTCGTGAGAGATTGTGATTTATCAAAAACAAAGCTCAGATGGTTTTGTACGTTCATCTTCGAATACACCCAAAGACTAAAACACACAAGCTTTGAAAAATCGAGTATTGCAATGTAAGGGCTTTAGATAAACAGAAAAACAAACAAGATATTAACTCATCTTGGAAGGACCAGAAAGTTTCAACAGCCTCGCATAAGGTTATCTGACACGCTAGGCAAAAATAATCCTTTTGCACAATAGCGTCAAACTGCTTTAGATCTTTATTCTAGAATCGATAACGGAATTTTGTCTAAATGGGTTCTAGCCTTACGATTACGTAGTTCCGCACATTATAGGGTCCCTTTGCAGAGTTATAACAGGATTATGGCAATCCAACTACCACTTTTTGGCGAGAAAGGTTGTGCAAAAGAAGTACCCCAATCAGCATGCTTGAAATCTAGGACAGATTTTGAAACAAATTTGGTACCCATCGCATACGCGGGTAAGACCTCAGGGCGTGAAATATGTCAAAAGGCCCTTCATGCAACGAGTTCAAGGCTATAGGACTATAGAGTACTAAACTAACGTTACAACTGCCTATACATCTCTCAAAAAAACAA